CAACATGAAACAAAAATCCTCTGTTTCATTTGCTCTGCAGAGTTCCTTTCATCCTTCAAAGAGATGTTAACTTATTTTGCGGTGTAATTGCCTGTATGAGCTTGCTTTTGAGCTGTAAGGCTAAGTATTGTTTTTGTTGGCAGGGTTATAATGTTTGTGCATTTACCACATCATTGATTGGTAACAATAATGAAGTAAATAACTGAAGGATTTCACTTGTTTTCTTTTTTTTCATTCTTCTGTTTCTCACAGGTTCATTGCTAAACCATGTGCCTTAGGCCTTAAAGTCCAAGCCAATGGACCACAGAAAGCTCAACCTAACGCCATCCTGGAGAAAGTTTTCACAGCTATTACAAAGGTAGAGTATTTAACTAAAATATTTACCTTATAAAGTGCGATATGGCACAATAAACTATGTCTGAACAAAACAAAGCTAACTACTAGTTGCAGTGCTGCATTTTTACCACTAAAATCAGAACAAGCATATGTCAAAGTTGTCACTAATATACCAGCTTGAGCAGTTGTGCATCCCTTCGTGATGTCTCCTGTAAGCTTTTAATCAAAAAAAGTTGTTTACAGAAACACTTTGTAGGTGCCATATGGCCACCTACTTTATTTTGCTTCTTATCTTTCAGAAATTTCTACAGTATCGTCAAAGCATCCTGAGCTTTCCCATATCAGTGAGCAGGTGTCCTTTAGCATCTCCTGAAGACCTCAGTGGTCAGCTGCTTTGTAGCAGAAAGACCTGTGGAGGCCTGTGGCTCCTGCAGGAACTTCCCAGTCCCACCTCAGCTCCAGGCTACAGCTGGGCATGCCACAACGAAGGCATCAGTCTAAACTTCAGAGGGTATTAGAGTCATAGAGGGCAAAACTGGGTTCAGTCTCAGCGATAGCGAAATACACTGTGGATCTGTCTTGCTTGTGTGTCCTACCCTATCCTGAGATCACTATGGCACTTGGTGTGGGCTTTGTCCTGTTTTGAGGGAGGGAGTCACACATATCTTGTTTCTAAAAGCTGCAGCACAGGTGCTCTCGCCCATGTGCTGGGTGAGAATGGGATTTGGTTTTTTCAGCTGGAGGAAGAATGGGATTTGTTTTTTTCTTTTTTTTTAATTTTTCCGTGCAGATTCTGCTAGTCCAACACAGGGCCTGAGTGTGTGAAGTGATCTGACTAATGCCTGTGAGTCATGGTAGGAGATGGCACACACGGCTCCTAGCACACAGTGCACGGAGGCAAGTGGGAAGAGCTCCAAAGGAAAGTATCTACTTTCCTGCAAGAGTTTGGTAGGGCTGTCTGGTAGCTGCTCTCAAAGAAACTGTGTTTTTGGAGTCATGTGCAGCAGTTCTCTCTAAACTCCCAAAAGCTGCATCAGTCATTTTCTGTGGTTACAGACAATGGCTTTTCTTAACCTTCCATTGAAAAAATAGTAGCTACTTTGGTTGACTAAAAATTTTGGGGTTTTTTTGAGATGAATGACATATACTTCATCCTTCTCTTGTCTCATCCTTTCCCTTCCCTTTCCTTCCTGTCTTTTCCTGGAGGCTGATAGATGAAACTTAAGCTTGACAAAAGCTTTACTGTTTTGCCTCTTGCAACATTTAAAAAATCTTTATCATGGCAGCTCTTGTATCTCATTCAATGTATGTAACTGGCTTGCGGAAATAAAGCTAAAGGTCCAGAAAGCAGATTGTCCAAAAGCTTTTTCTGTTTCTGTCAGGAGAAATATGTAAATAGTCTTCATGCAGTACTGGACGTGTAGAATTGTGGCATGATTTGCAATGCGGCCTGTACTGCTCTTCTCCATATAGTGGTTAAATGAAGGACAGACTCACTTTCTTTTGTCTTACCTCTGCACTGCTTTGCAGCTGCTCTAATGGAATGAGAGTTCCACATTTGCTGCTTTGGAGAATAATTGTGTGTAGCCAATTTTACAGAGGAAAATTCTCTCTCCCTGTTGTCAAGGTGATTTTCCTTTTGAACTTGTCACTTTGTTTAATTATCTCATTTTTTTAACATTAACATGCACAAACATGGGATATTTCTTCTTTCCATGTCAAACAATCTTCACTACTGCAACAGTCAGTAGGACAAAGTAGGAAGATGGAACAGGCATAGCGTGTGACAGGCAGGAGGGTGTTTGTAAGCCCCACTGCTCAAGAAGTGCATGGCATTTTATCCTTATTTATCATCACTTTCCAAATTTCAAGCAAGTTTTCATCGCATTGTCCCCTTCAAGTTTCTTACTAGTAATAACCTGCATGCAATGTTATAGCATATGTCCTTCTAGATTAATAATAGTCACTGTAGATGTACTTTGATGTGGATTTGCCAGCAGAGATTTCAGTGAAAGTAATTTTATTTCTGTGTGTCCATGTGTCTGACAGGCAGCTTCTAAGACTTTGAGAGGCAATTACAGTGATTCTAAATTTAAAGTGGCATTACTGCAGCTGGGCAAAGAAATAATTTCTATCCTTCTCTGTTCTGTAGCATCCAGATGAGAAGAGGCTGGAGGGCCTCTCCAAGCAGCTGGACTGGGATGTACGCAGCATTCAGCGTTGGTTTCGACAAAGACGCAACCAGGAAAAGCCCAGCACTCTTACAAAGTTCTGTGAAAGCATGTAAGGACACGTGTTCTCTTCTTGAGTCCTGTTGAGCCTGTGTCCTCGTCAGTTTTCCCCTTTGTTCTTCATGGGTATTTTTGTAGACAGGTAGAAAATGATACAAATTGGGCGAATGTAACTTCTTGAATGAGAAAAACAATCTTCTTTCTCCTGAAGGAGTCAGATTGTACTTTTCGTGTACTTTCAATGGTGAAAAGCTTTCAGAAATCAGGTGGTTGTGATTCTATACTGTCAGGATGCCAGCCTGATCCTTTGAGACAAATTAGGTTGTTAAACCCCTTCTTTGTTTTTTCTCATCCCAGGCTTGTCCCCTTTACTAGCTCATTTCCTTGGGTGTACTGAACTCTGAGAAGCTAAGGGTTCCTACACTTTCTTTAGGAAGTTATTTTTTGCCTGCCAGGTGTTTTACTTCTAACGAATCTTTCCCAGCACCCAGCTGTTCTTCAAACTGGTTATATGCATAAAAGTCATTTTTCTAATTAGACTCCATTGTTTTTAGTATCTGAGTTACATTTCCATGCCAACTGGGTGTAACATATTAATACTTCACCTGCATTGAAAGAGCATGGAATATTAAATCTACTTAAAATATTTACATGTTTTTCTTAAAGGAGGGCTGATAGACATTGAATTAATAACAAAACACAAAGAACAGCACTAGTTTATTTGAAAGACTCATTAATTCCAAGACTCAGCCCTTTAGCACTGCTGGATGTTGTTCCTTTGATGTGGAAGGTCATGTATTTAAGGCAAATTTTACATGATCCAAATCAAGAGACTTGGCAAATATTGCTGAGGCCATGAACAAGTATTGGCTTTATTACACTCTGTTGGTCAAATAGTTGCGTTATTGCTGGCTTAAATTCTAGTTACACTTTTTGTTAGCTGGGAAAGAAGTGTTAGGTAGGAATGTCAGCAGAAAAAGAGAAAGCCTATTTAAGTCAGAAAGCAAATCGTAGTTAATCTTGTTTTCCAAGGTGGTGGTTTTGGTTTGTGGTTGGTTTGGATTTGTGTGGTGTTTTTTTTTTTTTAGTCCTAATGATTCTTAAGTGAAGAAATCACAAAAACACTGCAGACCAACCAGAGAGAGGGGAGAGTGTGTGTATTAAAAAAACAACTTATGGAATATAGTGTTGTATCATTCATGCAGATTTCCTAAATATATTTCATACTTTTTTCTTTTGTAGGTTTCCTTAGTATTTTCCTTAAATTTTATCTTCCTATGGAGACATATAGGAATGATCCTGAATAAATAATGTATTAAGGCATTTTTTTCTGAAGCCAAACCATAGATGGAATGTTGTTCGAGTAGCAACTAATACTTACTTTCAACTAAGGACTGAATAGGAGAGAAATTAGAAGAGTTACTGTTAAGCATATTGTCTCTCTAGCTCAGAGGATGAGAGTCCTTTTTTTTTATTTTAGAAGAAGAAAGGTAAATTGTCTAAAGATGATTGCCCTTTAAGAAACAGAGGAACTTAACTGTCAGAATGCTTAAGTCCTTTTCTTGCTATTTACAGGTAAAATCCACCCTACTTAATATTTAATAAAGCCAGGCAGGGTGAGATTATGGATAAACTTAGTCATCCTGTTGCCAGCAGCTGGTGGTCTTAGATTTACTAATTTTTTAGATCAGTGAAGAACAACCTTTTTTCTACAAGGTTGTAGCTGTTAATGTATACACTTGTCTGCTTAACTTGTAGAAAAGGCTATGGAATCTTGGAAAAAAACTAAAACTGTATTACTGTTAGAGCTAGCATATTTGGGTGCTATATTTGCTACTTCTCTAACTCCATTCAAAGACTTCACTCTCTTGTATTAGTGCCAGCAGACTTGGGCTGACCTAGAGGTAGAAAAAACTTAAACATACCATGAAATACAGGCACAAATAGGAAAGTTATGGGTGCCGACCTTGCTCCTTTGTGGCATACATTATGGAAAAAGCATGCAGATGAGAGCTATGAATGGAGACTGGAAGGTAAGATCAAGCTGTAATGAAAGTTGTTAACTTACACTGACAGAATTAAGTGCGAGCTTCATTTAGAGTGAGACGTTGGGCAGTACTGCAATATGTATACTTAATAGTAATAATACTTGTCCAAAAAGAAGCAAAGTGGTCGAAATAATAATAAGTGGATAGTTCAGGTTCTCTCTGCTTGTGGTTTGCAGAAGGTGTGTTGGGAGTTGCCTCTCCATCTCTATACGTACATGCTGCTGTGAGAATGTGGTGTTTTCCAACCAACCATGTGCGTTGCCCTGATAGCACTTCCGGTGGTGCAGTGTGTGCCACCAGCTGTCCCATCACACATACTGGATGGACTTGCTGGCATGTAGTCAGGATAGCACTGGGAAGCCATGGATACCCTTTTTTCCCCTCAGTATGAGTGTTAAATGGTTGTCTAGTTAAATCTATCCATCAGGGCACTAAGGAAAGTGCTTCAGTATGTGGTGGCTTTTGGGATGAAGAGTCCGTGTGCATGTGTGGCACCTGCTTTGAAGCTCTGGGCTGCATAAAGCACAGGTTCCCATGACAGTCGTGGGAAGGGGAACACTCCAAGTCTTCAGTAACTGGGAGACCAGTGGAGAGTTTCGTAGCCCTGACAGAGAATGAAATGTGCCCTTATGTAATAAACAGGCATAGAGAAAGCAAAATGACAGTGAACCTCACATACACCTTCAACTGCTGAGCTGCTGTTGTCCTACCAGAGAAGATTTCAGTATTGCTGGCAACTGCATTGATTGACTGTGACTTGGGAAGAAAAGTGACAGAACCCACAACAAATGTGGAGCTGCTTAAAAAGAGCTCCAACTCTTTTTACATGGAGACAATTTAATTTACTGCTAGAAAAAGTGTTGCTTGGGCCCAGAATGTCTTTTCCATGATGCAAAGGAGAAGGCAGTTGTACTAGAAGGGCCGTAAACCATTTCTGACTGCCTTATCTTTCTTGCCAAATGAGTAGTGTAGGTACTATCTAAGGTAGAGGAGCTTCAGTAGAACAAAGACTGAGAGTGAAACTCAATGATAAACACTCTTGGCTGGGATGAATGACAGCCAAGATCCAGGCACAAACAGACTAAAACAAGAACTTATTCATTAGATTCTTCTTGTCCTAGATTTCTCACTTTTTCTACCCTTTCTCTTCTTTTTCTTTTCAAGCAACTTCAATTCTGGTCCTAAACAGAGTGCAGAGAAACTCCTAAACCTACGCTGCCTTTTTCCCCACCCACCCCCCCCCCCAAAGTGGAATAATTCCTTTGCTGCCAGCCTTCATCAGAGGTCATGGGCATTAGCAGGTGGTGGTTATATGGAGAAAAAGGCAGTAATAAAGTCTCTTGTCCTCTTGTCTGTAGACACTATTTGTGGCATAGTGTTGTAGTGAAAATAAATTACTTTTCAGGGACCTTAACCAGCAATCACCCCATAGAGTTTTGAGTGTCAATCTGAAAGAGAAGGCACCATTTGATTGTCAGAGCTGTGCAGGCCACTGAAGGTGAGACTTCAGTGGCATCACGTACCTGCTTAAGATTCAGATGTTACAGTGATAAGTACCTATATGAAATATGAAATAGATCATTTCACCAGGTGATGATTCATGATCCAGTATTAGTCAGAAAGACAGTAATAAAAGGGGTCCTGAGGATTATTTTACTAGCAAATCAATGGGATGTTTCTCAAGGATTTGGTGATTCTGACATGAAACTTGGCATTAACAGCAGAGTGTTTGTAGTCACTAGGAAAGGTATCCACCTAGTATAACCTCAGATTGTAATGCTCAGGCACATATCTTACTATATTAGCTGCAGAGGAGAGTGTGTCCATAGCTTTTCTTTCTCCTGTGGCAATTTAGGTAGTTTTGCTCCTTTTCTCAGCTTGAAAGATCCAAGGTGCATAAAGAAGAAGAAGAAGAAGTGGTGAACTCAGTGTGCGAAGTGGTGAACTCAGTGTGCAAAGTGGACTTTTCTACTGCCATGTATTTCTATTGTTTTTTTAATTCTTTTCTGTCTGTCACTGTGGCACAGAGTAACATCAAGGAAAGACAAGCTTTCTCCTGAACAAGATAGCTTGGGCACTGCACTTTGAGTATGCAGCACATGGGAAAACACAGAAAGTGGATTACCTTGAATCTTTCCTGAACCTCATGTGGTTTCTGTGCTATTCATGGAGACTATCTGCAGTACTTTACAAGGCTAAAAGTTGTTTCTGTAGAGGACTCTCAATCTATTTATAGGCAGGTGATATAAATTGGATCAAATGGTCTAACGACTCTGCTGGAGCATAGTTCTAGCACAGAAAGGTATCTTTTTTTAAAAGACAAAAAAAAAAATATTGACCACAAATAAGTTCCCAAAAATATCTTAAGGAAGACTCTTGCATCTGAATATAGTGAAATGGGAATTCCAGGCATGGAATAAGCTATTGGGGAAAGAGCTTCAAGGTATGCTGGGGACAACTGGGAGAATGTAATTCTTGGAAGACCATGCATGGTGACTTTGCTGATTGCCATACAGAATACAGGATCCAAGAATGTCTTTGTTAATCTCTGATGTGTCAGAAAGCCAGTGCAGTAGTGATACCGAAATCACTTCCAGTTTCTTCCCTGTTTTAGTGTATTGCGCTGCTGCTCACACTACCAGTTTGTAGGCATGTCTACTTTTCTCAAAGACTAAATTGTATAGAAAGAGCAGGCATCCTGTTCTCCCTTGTTGTCAGGAGCAAAGGGAAGGAACCTGTGATGCCCTAAGTTATTAGCCTAGGACTTTGGAATGTCATCCAGCTCATGACTTTTGTGTCCTACAGCTATGTACATTTAAGCAAGCTGTGTATTAGAGTCATTTACATGATTTCCAAGGAGCGTCTGGCAGAAACGTATGGCCAAGAGAGTTTTCTGAGTTTATGCAGCAGTCTGCATGTGAAAACATGCAAATGTGCGGACTGAAGAGCCAAAGATTTTTTTTTTTACTTCATTCTTCTCTAGAAGAAGCTTGGATACTAAATT